ACCACAGGGCTCTAGAAATAATACCTGGCCAAACCGTGACCAAAGTGATGGAGTCTTTGGGATGTTGGGAGAGATTCTGCCTTTTGATCCTGCAGGTATGTCTGGCCCTCCTGGGGTTTTAACATAAAATGTAATCACTGATGGCTTCATGGCCTTCTGCCACACCTTTACTGTGGCAGTGAAATGACTTAATCCCCCTTTAAAGACCCTTTTTTCCTTGCTGTCTGGTGGCAAGAATGGGACAGATCTAGCAAGAGTGGGAAACAGTGGTGAGAATGAGCTGAGAAGGTAAGCAGAACTATTTTTCTCACTTTATAAAGGACAGATTGAGGCTTAGAGAAGTTATTTAAATTGCTCAACATTTCATTATTTAAGTGAGTACCACAGTCTGGGCCATCTCATTCTTGAAGCCAAGGCAGCTGGCTTTGTGTAGGGTACATTTTTTTTTTTTTTAATTACATACCTATTCCTTGTGATTCATTTTTACTTAAGCTCTAGGACCCTGAATAACTATGAAAAGTGACAGAGTACTCTCCTGCCTTCATAGACTATAGCTTCCCCTGGCTCAGATTATAAAAACATACACACACACATCAGAGTCATCTTAAGAAATTAGAAAAAGAGCATAGAAATAAAACAGAAATAAACTAGAAAGAGGAAATTAATTCAAGATTTAACCAGTAACCACTTGCCGTTGAGTTGACTCCAACTCATAGTGACCCTATATGTATCATAGAAAAACTGCTCCATCGGGTTTTCAGTGGTTGAGTTTTCAGAAATAGATCTTAAGGTCTTTCTTCTGAGGTGGACTCAAACCACCACCTTTCAGTTAGCAGCCAAGCACATTTACTGTTTCCACCAACCAAAGCAAACCAAGCTAAGTGCTGTCCAGTCCATTCTGACTCATGGTTACCCCATGTGTGCAGTGTAAAGCTGCACTTCATAGTGTTGTTAAGTCTGTGACCTTTTGAAAGCAGACCACCAGGCTTTTTTTTTTTGAGGTGCCAGCATTTCATTTAGTCAAGTGCTTAACTGTTTGTGCCACCCAGGGACTGCTACTTAAGGATAAAAGCCTAAATTAAGTTAAAAAGAAAAAGAAATTGTAAATAAATCTAAAATAGGTCCTCAGAGGACCAATTAAATAGATAACCCAATTTACTGAGAGCCTGAGTAAGAGAGAACAAAGAAAATCAAGATTAGGAAAAAGAAAGGATATATAACTAAAGTTAGAGGAGAGATTAAAAAGTATTTTAGAAATTACTACATATGACTTCATGGCAACAAATTTGAAAACTGTATGGAGAATGAATGATTTCCTAATAAATTATACGTTACTAAAATTACACCAAGAAGTGGAAAACCCACCTAGATCTATTTTAATAGAAGAGGTTGGAAAGGTAATTAAAAATCTACCTTTAATAGAAAAAGATACCAAGAGTAGTTGATACATAAGCACTTTTACCCAATTTTTAAGGTGCAGATAAAGTTATTTAAACTATTTCAGACACAGAAAATTATAACTCCCTAGTTACCTTTTTTAATGTAGCCAACCTAACTACCATAAAGATTTTATTAGGATAGTATTGAAAAGCAAATCATAAGGCTTCTCATGAATATGGATATTTGCAATAAAATCTAGCAGTGTATCTGAAGAGTCATGTTGTTGTTGTTGTTGTTGTTATGTACCGTCAAGTCAGATCTGACTCACAGTGACCACTCCTTGGGTTTCTGAGCAGTATCACTACAGAAGTAGATTGCCCAACCTTCCTTCTGAGGAGTGGCTGGTGAGTTTGAACCTCAAGGCTTCTGGTTAGCAGTCGAGTACCTTAGGCACTATGCTACCAGAGCTCCTCTGAAGAGTCATAGTAGTGAATAAACCTGGTTTATAGGGTAGTTCAGTGTAAGCAATTCTGTTAATGTATAGTGACCTATTTTATCAACCAATTAAATGAGAAAAACTGATCTTACAAATAGATATTATAAAGACATTTGATAAAAGACACCAGTGAGTCTTAAAAAAACAAAAATAAACCCATCAAAATAAAATATGGATACAGGGAAATGTCTTGAAAATAAAAAAGGCTATCAACTAAAATCAATAGTAAATACTATCTTGTATAATGAAACATAAAATCATTTCAGTTAAAATCAGGAACCAGATAGAGACATCTATAATCACCAATAGCAGATAACTTTGTCTTGGCCTTTCTGGCAAATACAGCAAGACAAAAAGAAATGAAATTAGTATGGTATAAGGTATGAAAAAGGATAGATTAAAAAGCCACATCTTTTTGCTGGTGATAGATTTGGGGGAAAAGTTTTCACAAATAAAAAACTTCTGAAACTAGGACAATCTAATAATGTGGGTAGATGCAAGAAAAATACATAAAAATCAGTCACATTTTCTTCTAATTTAGCAAAAGATATCTAGAACAGGAAAATATATTTTACTCACAGAAGCAATACTATAAATTGTTCTAAATAAATATAACACTTACAGAATAAATGCCACCAGAAGAGGAGATTCCTGCTAAAACACCTAGCAGGAACTACTGAAGGAAGGAAATGCTTTCTTAAGCCTCCCAAAAATTCCACATGTTGCTCCTGCTTTCTTGATCTTGCTTTGCTTGGGTAGGTAGATCTAAGGAACCTTGTGTCTATGGCCTTGCACGTTTTTGTAGTTGGTGATAAATAGTCTGTATGTTTCTTGACAGTCTAACTAAATCCAGGGTTTTGGCAGGATTTCGCCTCTATTGAGGCTCTGACAATCTTTGCTTCTTTAGTCTCTGAATTCTATTAGCTTTTCATTTCTGGGTGTTTCTTGATATAAAATACCAAAAACCAAACTCACTGCTGTTGAGTCGGATCCAACTCATAGCGACCCCTCCTTGGGTTTCTGAGGCAGTATCACTATGGAAGTAGATAGCCTAATCTTCCTTCCAAGGAGTTGCTGGTGGGTTTGAACCGCCAGCCTTCTGGTTAGCAGTCAAATGCCTTAGGCACTACATTACCAGTCTGATACTAGTATCAGACATAACTAGTATCAGTTCTTGATATAAGGCCCACAAAATCCTTGCTGTAACTTCTTGAAAATGCTACTCCAAGGACATAAGGTTTGCAAAGCCTTTTGTGCAAGTTAAGGAAGGGCAGGTGAATTAAAGAAGGTACCCTCTCTGGGGGTGGGGAATTCAGTTAAAATGGAGTACCTTATTTGGATGGCCAAACACACTTACTGGTGGCATGGTTTGAGTAACCAAGGTGGTTGGCCTTGGTTTCAGGCCCTTACTTTCCCCTTCTCTGGGCAGCCTTGTGCAGTGGCCCCTTGGCAGGCCCTAAGAACAATAATGATAGTTATAATAAGGGGAGTGTGCCCTAGCATCTTTCCAAGTATGACACTGAGAACTCTGCTGAGTCACTCATCTATAGTTACCCATAGATATTTTCCTGACACATCTTTTTGTTTGACTCTTTCTTTAAATGCCATCTGTGCTATTTTTTCTTTCACTTGTCCTGTCCTGGATACAAGGAAATGCCTTGCCAGGCAAAAGTAACCTCTTCTTGTTCATCTTATTTTTGCCACTCTTACTATCTTCAGTCTGAATGAGTAACCTGCCATCTAATACCCAGGAAAATTCTAGATATGAGCCCACTGAATCAAAGTTTGGCCCAAGTGGAAATGGAATATTATTTTCTACCTGGCTGACCCTGATGCTTTGATAACCACTTGCAGGTTATCATTTTGTCAAAGTGATCATCTGATTTTCTAAATTCTTAGGTAATGACTGTAAACCAAAAAAAAATCAGACTCACTGCCATCGAGTTGATTTGACTCATAGTGACCCCTCCTTGGGTTTCCAAAGCAGTATCACTACAGAAGTAGATTGCCCAGTTTTCCTTCCGTGGAGTGGCTCGTGGGTTTGAATCGCCACCCTTTTGGTTAGCAGTCAAATGCCTTAGGCACTACACCACCAGAGCTGCCGGTAATGACCTAAATATATAGAACTAGACACAGAAAAATTTAGACATAACTAGTATCAGTCTTTAAAATTTAGTGATGGTAAATTAAGCGTTTTTCTTCTCTCTCTCTCTTTCTCATTCAGCCTGTCTCTATTCTAGGCACAACCCTTCCTGACAGTCACTGCACACATGACACCCAAATCTCAGATTTAGGTGTTGAAAGCCTCATCTCACCATAGCATATCTCACTGCCAACGAGTTGATCCCGACTCATAGCGAGCCCTCCTTGGGTTTCTAAGGCAGTATCACTACAAAAGTAGATTGCCCAATCTTCCTCCCGAAGAGTGGCTGGTGGATTTGAACTGTCAGCCGTCTGGTTACCTACCAGTCAAATGCCTTAGGGACTATGCCACCAGAGCTCCTGCCATAGCATATAATGTCAGATATATTCTGGACCCATGGGCCTGGAGCCCCTGGCCACTTTTCATTGTGTGAGTGGGTAGTGCCCAGAGGGTAGAGAAAAGAACCAAGAAGCCAGTTTGGCCCCACGTCCTACCTGTCCCTTTGTCTTAACACAGTGGGCTCAGACCCAGAGTTTGCACGCTACGTGGCAGGAGTCAGCCAGGCAATGCAGCAGAAGCGGCAAGCCCAGCATGGTCGCCGCTCAGGCAACCCCCGGGGCAACTGGCCACCCATGGATGATACCCACCAGACCTGGCCTTTACCAGAGTTCTTCACAGAAGGGTGAGTGCTAAGTATGTCAGGGAAGCCAAGTTTGGGAATTGGTTTCCTGCATGGGGCCCATGAAAAGGAGGCTCTTTGGCCTTTGTGTGTTTTTGACGGGCACAGTTCGGTTATAAACCCCTTAGTGAGAGTGACACATAGTTAAAACTTTCAGAGGGTCAAAGTTTTGTGACTTAGCTATAGGATGCCTGATGTGGCCCAGTACATCAAGCATCTTATAGTTATAGGATGTTATAGGATACACCATCAGTATTGACTAATGATTTCTCAAGATACTCTTCAGCCCTAGATGATGGCCTTATTTGATGATGTTTGTGAAGCAATTGTATGTTTAGTATGGTCTTTTTGCTAATATGAGTATGTCTTTGAAACACGTGTGATTTATGGAATACTATCATTTGAGCCTACACAAAGCAATAGTGTATGGTTCAGATTCCAGTGTTTTGAGGGAAGTGTGGATTTTTATCATAAAGACAACTGGGGGTTGATTTTTCACATCCCTTATTGCGATCTGGGCAGTAAATGTGGATAGCTAAAGACCATCTCAACTTTTTTTTATTTTTAAAAATAACTTTCATAGACAAAACACAGGCTTCTGAGGGAAATGTGTATTAGTTTTATAATAAGAGGAATGAAGAAAATCTCAGGTTTTTAGAAGAGAGACCCATAAACCAAAAAAACTAAACCCAATGCTATTGATTCCAACTCATAGCAACCCTATAGGACACAGTAGAAATGCCTCATATGGTTTCCAAGCCTACAATCTGTATGAAGCAGACTGCCACATCTTTCTCCTATTCTCCTGTGGAGCAGCTGATGGGTTTGAACTACCAGTCTTTCAGTTAGCAGCCCAGCACTTTGACCACTATACCACACCAAGGCTCCTTGGAAGACTACAGATAGTATTTGGTTATGAAATGAGTGCAGGGTAGGGCTTGGGTATAGGGTGGGGGCTGAACTTCAGGCCAGTGTCTAGGTTCACTGTAGGAAGCATGGGACCAGCTTCTGTCTTTGGCTTTTAGGGATGGCCTACCCAGTGGCTGGTCGGGTGCTCAGGGAGACTCAGCCAGCTCAAGTGACGAGACATCCTCCGCCAATGGAGACAGTTTGTTCTCCATGTTTTCAGGGCCTGACCTCGTTGCTGCTGTCAAGCAGAGAAGGTATGAATGATTTCTAAACCAAAGAGGTGAGAAGGGCATATGAATTTTTCCCACAGTTTAATTCTCTAGAAGGGTCAAGATCCTCATCTCTGCCAGTCTGCTTTGTGTGAGAGAGACAGAGGAGCCCTGGTCCCAACACTGTCTGGCTAAAGGCCTCTGAGGAGTGCCGTCAGGTGTTCTCCACAAAGAACAGCTGGTCTTGGCTTGCTGAGGGTCTCCATGAGGCTACAACACAGCCCAGGTGACTTACATTGGGTTACGTTTTTTGCTGGCATAAAAGCCTCCTGCAGTGATGGCTAAGAATACAAGTAAGACAGGCAAGGAAGGATTCAGAGACAGGGTCTGCCAGTGCTGGTCTCTGCCTGACAGGAGGCAGCCCCTTCTGTGGGATGAGCAGGCCAGAACAGCCAAGTTCTAAGCAGGACTCACCAACAGGCTGTTCAACTCCAGATAAAAGCTTGGCCTCTCTGACCCTCAGCTTCTTTGGCTCTCAAAGATGGGACTGGATACAACGGTATTTCAGAGTTGAAAAAATAGTAATATAGTATATTTAAATCTAAGAAGTTTTCTAAAGTACCTTATTTTTCACAAATAACACACCTGTTTAACACACATGCACACATATAACATGTATAGGAAACTCCTAGGCAAGGTAATTGTGCAGTTGACAAAAAACATAACAATGATTTTGTTATTTGTGTAAAAATATGATATTCGCAAAAATTAAAATGGACCCTAAAATTAGAGAAGAATTTGGACAGAAAGAAGTGGAGAGAGCATTGTGAGTATGAGGAAGCCCTGTAGGAGGCAGTGAGAGGGATGTGGGCAGGAATGGAGAGTATACAGGGCTGCATGAGTATGGAGAAGGAAGCCAGGTTTTGTGGCCCTTTTGTGATAGGGTCAAGGAACAGGTAGATGAAAACTGCAGCTAGGATACACAGAATGGTATTGGAGCTGATGAAAGTGATTGCTAACCCACATTTGGGTGCTTTCTGTGTGCTACACCCTAGGCTAAGCATTTAAGCATCAAAATCACTGTATATAGACGTTACTATTTTTACTTCTGTTTATACACAGGGAAACTAAGGCTCAGAGAGGTTAACTTCATTCATTCAGTGGCAGGCACTTACCATGTGCAAGGCACTGGTGATGAAACAATGAACCAAACAAAATCCACTCCTTCATAGAACTTACATGCTAGTAGGGGAAGACAGATAAATATGTCAGGCTGGGTTAGGTGTTAGGAAGAAAAATAAACCAGAGTATGGGGGCAGACAGTGCAAGGAGAGAGAGATGTTCTCTTTTCAGAGGGGTGGTCAAGGAAGGCCTCTGATGAGAAGAGAGCTGAACAGAGTTAAGAGAACAACTAGTGCGGGTTTGTCCATGAGGTAGTGTGACAGAGAAAAATCAAGGATGACTTGAATTTTTGACCTGAGCCATCTGTGTGAAAGGGAGTGCCATAAACTGAGATGGAGAGGGCTGTAGGAGGAGTAGGTTTGAGCCAAGGTGGGCAGTAAGACTTCTGCTTTAGACATTAAATTTGAGAGGCTGATTAGACATCTGAGAAGAATAAGTCACCTGTAGCACTCCCTCTCTGCAAAGACCACAATCTATATGGAGGAGTACTGACAGAGCTTGATTCTACCTGGCTGTGATTGTGCTACATCCTGCTTTTTTCATTCAACATTTTCTATGTTTTTTTAAGTCACATATCTTCAGTACATTTAGTATCTATTGAGTAAACTAGTAAAAAGCCAAAGCTGGGGGACTCAGAGTGCAGCTAAGCAATGCCAATGGCTCTTTATGCCTGCCTCACCTATCCCCACCCATCTGTGATATTTTGCAGGAATATACTGTGCAAGAGCTGACTCCCCTCTCCCCTGAATGCAGTCAACCCAAGGCCTCCCCACGTAGAACTGGTGCCTGGAGACCCTGGAGCCAAGTGGCTAAGTGTTCCATGGAGATAAGGCAGGTAGGAAAACCAGGTAATCACTGTACTGAGCTTTTGGTTCTTTCAGGAAACACAGCAGTGGAGAGCAGGAGACCAGCATGCTGCCCTCACCACCTCTTCTTACTACCATGGAGGACATGAACCAGGTATTTTGGGCCTTCTCTGGCCAAAAAGGACTGGGTTCAGACTGTGAGCAAGATCCCAAACCTTAATTTCTGAGTGAGCCTTAGAGTAAGGAGTGGTTCTATTTTGCTTGTGGTGAATAAATTTTATCCTTAACTTTTCTGCCATATATATATTTTTTTAATCTAAATGATTACCCATCTCAGCTTACTCAAAGTCACATACAGAGTAAACTTTATGGCTGTGCTATCCAATATGATAGCCACTAGCCACATACAGCTATTTACATTTAATTAAATATAAATAAAAATTCAGTTCCTTTGTTGCATTATCCACAAATGGCTAGTGGGTACTATACTGTCCAGTATAGATACAGAATATTTCTTTCGATGCATAAAGTTCTATTGAACAGCATTGCTCTAGGACTATGGGTAGTGGGAGGGTTCTCACCCTGCCTCCTAGGTGGAAATAAGGACCAAATGTCTGGGGAGGTGGGGAAAAAATGGTAAGTCACCAGAAATGCCACTGAGAATCTTCTTCTGTCTCTCAGGATAACAAAACCAAAACGTGGCCACCCAAAGCACCCTGGCAACACTCTTCCCCGCTGCCCAGCACACTGCCCAGTCCAAGCACACCTCTCTACGCAGTGGCCAACCCCAGCAGCCAATGGAATGACACGATGCAGATGCTGCAGTCTCCAGTGTGGGCTGCGACCAGTGACTGCAGCACCGCGTCCTTTCCCTACGTGCAGCCCCCACCGCAGCCCCCACCCTCACCAGCACACAAGGCAGCATCCAAGGGCTCTGAGGCCTTCCCTGAGAAGGCTGAGCACAGGCCAGCCTACTTGCCCCAGTACTGAACCAGGGAAAGCCTGCCCACCTGCCCAGAGCTGTTGGGACCAGTGTTCCCATCCCAGGGCTAACTAGCTGACACTAGCTCTCCAGAGGACCAGTGTACTTCTGTCCTAGGCAGGGATACTTGAGGACCAGGGTGGTGGGCAGGTCCAAGCCTTTAAATCCTGGCTTCTCAAACTTTGGAGGCATCAGACCACTGGAGAGCTAGCTGAAGATGGAGGTGTCTGACCCTCATGGAGATGCTTGGCAATCTGTGTGATTCTGATGCAGGTGGGTCACAGATTATGCTTTGAGAAACACAGCTTTAAAGTTTTTAGTCCCGGTGTGTGTGTGGGAAAAGCATCAGGCCTAAAAGCTGAGAGCAAAACTGACCATTTTCCCAGAACTCCTTTCTTAACACACTGAGTGATGACCACACCAATCACTATTTTACAGCTCTTTCTCGTAGATTTTTAGTTCAAACATCTCCTGCCTAAAATGCTTCTAATATTTTAACATAACAAATGTTGTGGCTGGAGATTTGTTCAACACTATCTTTATTTAAGCTTATATAAAATGGGTAAGTTATAAAATACTTGTGGTCAGAAGCAATCACCTGGGTTTTCTGTAGGACGGCAGCCCCTCACCACCTTGGCAGCACCCAGGAGGTGCAGCCTTGATCAGATTTACAAAAACAGGATCATAAAATGGATGTCAGAGGCATATTCCTGACAGTACATGGAGATGACCTGGCCTCTGCCAGATAAATCATCACCTCGGCTACTTCCACACCTGGCCAGAGGCATCATCCCAGTCCTCAGAGGGTGGAGATATAGCCAAGGGGCTGCAGAAAGACACTTGCACTTGAAATTGTGGTAACATACATGAATTGGCTCAGAAGAGAAACTAATTAAGATGTTAGAAAGGAATTTAAAGTTGTTTCTTTAAAAGAACCAGAAACAACCAACCTCATTTTCAGTTAAAATGTGCCATTAGATAGTTAACATCCTGTGGATTTAGGGATATTTTCCAGCCAGAATGGATCCAGAAGAATTGAATGGTGCTTAAATTGAGAAATAATAAGTGTATCTACATAAAATAGACATATCCCACTGTATATTAATTGAGGTTACAGAAAGTTCTTTATATAAAACTTATTTAAATTTTTCATATTTCATCTTTGAAAAAGTCTAATTGAGAAAAATCCATAATATTTTCTGGTATGAAAGTTTGACAGTATTAATATTTTTTTTATATTTTCTTAAAATCATTAAGCCATTTTAATATATGTTAACTACTAATAAATGGTTTATTCTTTCTAACTCCATATAAGCTTTTCAAGCAAAGATTGTAATAACACCTTTATGTTCTCATTTTTCTACAAATATAATTAAATTTATATTTAAAAATACCAAAAATGAAAAATATATATATATATATATATGTATGTACACACACACACACACAAATTCTAGAGGACCCTTAGGGTGTCTGAGCCCAGCCACCTGAATTTTTATTCCTTTGTTGCCAGGCTGTTTCCAGGCCTCAGGTGTTGTCTTTTGTGCTGTGTGGGGATGTCATTGCTGCCTGTACTTAGAATACTGTCACCATAGGTTCTGAATATTCACCTCACCATGTTTACAGAGAACTGTTTTGTACATACACTCTTTCAGGCACATGCTTTGCACCAACCCTGCGTGGCTCTTGTCTGTGTTAACTGTCACAGTGTGCACACTTATCTCTGTTGAAGTTGTTTGTAGCTATTTTACTTGTAAGATAGTTTTCTACTTCCTTCAGTAATGTGTCCACAGTACCCTATATTTCAAATTCTGAAGTACTCTTGTTTTAATAGTGCCTCCCCAAAGACCTCACTTTGGATAGAGGTCAGTCCTTGATTCCCCAGCATAGGTGATAACCCTATCAACACTTTCCAGTTTTTCTCTATTAAGAAAGACATTTTGTAATTGCATCTCCATGGGCTGTGAGGCTGTGTGAAGTTGTTTGTGTGATCTCCATGTAGGTGCTGTGTTCTCAGCACCACCTTGCTCTGAACACTGGTAATTCCAGGTGCTGCGCTCGGCAGAGGGGTCTTGCCAAAGCGCATGTGTATGTGTGTGTGAGTGTATGTGTCCTTTGCATGGCCGGGCGTGGCTGCCTTACTCGGGCATCAGCAGGACATAGTGTGAATAAACGCTTCCAAACTGGAACTCTACATTTTGTATCTTACTTTTGAAGCTCCTATAACTAAAATAACTATTGCTTTTATTAAAAATATACATTTAATAATACTCGGTATCTTTGTTTAAAATGAACTTCAATAGACGCCATCTCAGAAGTCTTGCCTAATTCATTACTTTGAAAAGCCTGGTCCTGCACCTAGGTTGGTTTTTATGTCCTCCTTTCCTCTGAGTGAGACCTGCCAAGGGAAGACCACTTGGAATATGAAGATGAGCTGAGGTAGGTGGACAGGAAGCAGAACTCACCACGTCTCTCCTATTGACTTAAGGAGAGTCATTAAGGCCATAGCTGGGTGCAGCTTCTGCACAGGCAGAGCCAGAGTAGCAATGAAGGAGTCTGTCTCTTGAAAGCTCTCTCTTTGGATTGTGATCTGCCAGTACCCACATCCTACCAAACATAAGGAACTCTGAGCTGCCCGGCCAACCATTCTGAGGAGCTGACCCAGGGAATGAGGACTCATTTCAACCCCTCCTTCCACCAGGGACCCAATCTGATGAGAGACAGACCCTGCCTCCCAGGGATAAGAAGGCCCCTACTACTGGATAACACCATCCTGTTGAGCAGAAGGAAAGTTTGTATAATAGAGGATGGGTTACAGGGGAGCTGCAACTCATTTTCATTATGGGAACATAGCACTTCATTGAAACTAAACTTTTTCATTAATTTAGAAAAAAGGAATAACATGAGTTAGTGTTAGTGTATAATCTGTCAGTATTAAGTACTGCTGAGGTTTCTTAATTCTAGCGGGCAAAATGCACATTTGTGTACCTGTTTAATATTAGCAGCCAGTGATGTTCACTGACTTCTGATTCCCATAGCCGCAGCTAGGTGACTCACAGGCAGGAAGGGAAATAGATGTTACAACTGAGTCCAAAGAGGATCTTTGTAGGCCTCAACCTGAAGCCAGCCCAGCTGAGAAACAGAAGAGGACACACAGGTGAGGTCCTCGTGAGGCTTATGACCCTCTTTTCCTACCTGGGGGCCCCTTGGAGAGTGAAGCTTCCAACTCCAGGGGTATAACTAAAATGTCACATTCCAGCCATGGGACTGAGAGGATGGCTTTCAGTGCAGTGTTTGGCCACTGTTGGGACCTGCCTTCTGTTCCAGACACAGGAAATAAACTTTTCCAATGCTCCTGGATTGCCAAAGATGTGGACATTGGTGCCCAGGAGTCTGAGGAATTCTAGGGACAGCTGGCCTCATAATCCCACAGGGAGAGACTGGCTTGGGCCCAAGCCTCTGCATGTCTGAGGGAACTGGATGTGGTCTGTGTTGGGATTGAGTGGCAGATGTGAACCTCAAAGATTTTTTCAGAATTGTTGATTTCAACATTTATTAATGTCTCCTTATGGCCAGGGCTGCAAAAACAATACAATCCCTGCCTTGAAACACAATCTTTTAAAGGAGACAAAATATCAGAATATCAATGTAATACAGAATATCAATGTAATAGGTAGCAAACTTGCAACAATTTCTCCTCAACCCCCAATACACTCTTGTTCACTCTCAGCTGAGGATCTGACCATTTATTGCATTGTCAGGTGAGCTGTAAGCTGTTGAGCTGATTCTGACTAATAGTGACCCTATCGGAGAGTAGAACTGCCCCATAGATTTCAAAGGTTGTAATCTTTATGGGATCAGACCACCAGGTCTTCCCTTCTGGAGCTGCTGGTGGGTTTGAACCTCTGACCTTTTCATTAGCAACAAAGTGCTTAACCATTGTGCCACCCCCAGGGCTCCTCTGTCAGATGAAACAGCCAAGTCCACTGGAACAGCAGCATCAGAAATCCTTATGCTCTGTATCTGTCTCTTCTACTGAGGGCCTTCATTCCTGCAGTTCTCCCTTCCTCTTAAGTTGTCCATTTCTGCATCACCTCTGCTCATTTTCATGTCTCAGCCTTAAATGTTTTTGTTGTCTTATATCTCCCTTAACTCTATCTTCTCCAGCTGTCAATCCCTTTTTAGGTTCATATTTGCACCAGATCTCTAAACCAGCTCTGCCCAATTTTAATACAATTCGAGCCACATGTGATTCTTTATTTTCTAGTTGCTACATCAAAAATTAAAACTAGTGAAATTCATAGTATGGTTAGCCCAATCACATTTTTAACACATAATCAATAGGAACAAATTAATGATAAATTTTACATTCTTTTTTTTTTTCATACTGTTGTTAGTTGCCATTGAGTAGATTCTGACTCACGTAACCCCATGCATGCTGAGTAGTACTCCAGAGCGTTTTCAAGGCCGTGATTTTTCAGAACCAGATCACAAGGCCTGTCTTCCCAGGTGCCTCTATGAGTTCAAACCACCAACCTTTCGGTTAGTAGTCAAGCGCTTTTTTTTTTTTTTTTTTAACCAGGTCTTTGAAGGGAGCTCTGGTAGCTTAGTGCCTAAGGCACCTAAAGCACTTGACTGCTAAGCAGAAGGCTGGCGGTTCAAACCCACCAGCCACTCTTCGGAAGGAAGGTCGGGCAATCTACTTCCATAGTGATACCGCCTCGGAAACCCAAGGAGGGGTCGCTATGAGTTGGATCCGACTCAACAGCACATAATAACAGGTCTTTGAAATCGGTGTGTACTTACAGCATGTCTTGATTCGGATTAGCTACATTTCAAGTGCTTGATAACCACGTGTGGCTATTGGCTATGGAATTGGACAGAGCAGATCCAGACTCTTGTCTGTACTTACTGGCTTCATTTCTACCCCCTTTCTGTCCTTTCTACCCACTCCAATCAAGCTTTAGCCAAGATCACCAACAATATCCATTTTGCTAAGTCCAAATGA